ATGGGGCAGGGGATTCCTGCAGGTCGCTCAGTCTCTCTTCTTCCAAGTCCAACTCGCAAGCCTTCCCCTCTTCTCAGCACAGAGGCAACTGGTGGTGCTACTCGGGCTCCATGAACAGTCGGAACAACAGCTGGGATACCGTGAACACCCTTCTGCCGGAAGACCCCGAGGTTGCAGATATCTTTTCCAAGTGTCCTAAGCTGCCGGATCTGGAGGAATACCCTTGGACTGATGAAGACATTGGGAAAATACTCCGGAAAGGGAAGGGAGATGGCAAGAGCAGAACCTTTTCCCAGGAAGCTGTCAGGAGGCTCTCGCAGCTGCTGAGACGCGCCTTGATCAGGGTCTCCAGGGAAGCTCAGCGGCTCAGCGTGATGCACTCCAAGTGCACCCGGTTCGAGGTGCAGAGCGCCGTCAAGCTCATCCAGAGCTGGTCGCTGTCGGAGAGCTGCGTCTTGGCCACCGTCAAGGCTCTCTCGCTGTACAGCATGAGCGCCGGAGACGGACTGAGGAAAGGTAAATCGGCCAGGTGTGGCCTCACCTTTTCAGTGGGGAGGTTTTTCAGGTGGATGGTGGACACGAGGATCTCGGTTAGGATCCACGAGTACGCAGCCATCTCTTTAACCGCCTGCATGGAGAACCTCGTCGAAGAGATCAAGGGTAGGGTTTTGGCAAGTCAGAGCCCTGATGGTGGAGGAGGGGAGATCTCAGCTGAAATCCTGGAGATGGTTATCAACAACGATGCTGAACTTTGGGGGGTGTTGCAACCTTACGAGCATCTCATCTGTGGGAAAAACGCGAATGGTAAGATCCAGCTTTTACGATTTCTCATCTTCCTACCAGCAAGCTTTAACAGTAGAAACGTTGATTTCTGTGGAATTGAGTTTTTTCTGGTTTTTCTTTTCGTCTGAATTGCGTCGTGGTCGTGGTTTGTGGTGCGTAAAGCAGACGCGACGGTTTTACCCAGAAAGAACGATCCTGCTTGATTCTTAAGGTGTGCCAGTTTCTAAAAGGTGCAGAGGCTGTGGGAAAACAAGCCCCGTCGTCCTAACAAATGTCTTATGACTCTCTACCAGCTGCTGTTTGGAGCGTTTTTGCTGTAACTGGCGTGTAAACATGCTTCTCTAACCAGAAGATGAAAGCTGCTTTTAGAAAATACCACTACTGTTTCTAAACAAAATTTATATTATAGCGAGTGTCTTACAGTTTCATCTTGAAAGTGCTGTTCCCACACACAGCCTGGAGAAGGAAAACAACCTATTTCTTTTTTTCTTTGCAGTAATAAAATTCCATTTCTGAGTGAAAACTTAGTGTTGCTTAGACTTGTAGTTTAGCAGAAACCTGTGTTGTAATCGCACCCATGCAGCGAACGAGAGCTTGTGCTTGGCTTGCCCAAGTGAGTTATGTAGCATGGTGCCTAGTAATGGGAATAACATAGCATTAAGGTACTTACCTCTGTAATTTGTTTGGAAAGCAGGCTTTTTGAACAGTTAAGGAAATAAGCAGAGAGAGGAATCTTGGCGTCTTCCTAGGAGACTGAAGAGCAATTTGAAAGGCTTAAGTCATGACAGTTCTGCTGAGAAGCTGCACTGTTTATTTTGCATTGTCACACTGAGGAGTACCATATTTTTCCGTGGAAAATTCAGAGAAGCGTTCAGTTTGGAAAACTATTCTGTGCACCACACACAGTTTCATGATTGTTGCTGGCCTCGTCGTTACGGTCAGCCGGTCCGGTCCGTGCGTAATACCTTTCTGATTTAACTCTTTATAAACCCAAGTGGCTTGGTCCTCTTCGAAAGATAATCTCATCACGAATGACGTTTTCTCTGAGGGGAAAAAAATACACCTTAGGTGAATGTTAATCATGAAACGCTGTCAGAAGGGCTGACTTAGCTTCTGCTCCTGGGGTGCATTGATTGCCTGCAGTTATCCTGTACCAAAGCATTAATGTCACGACGCGCATCACTAGTAGGTAGGGGCAGTGGCTGTCCCCTTGGATCAGCCTGGTTCAAATTATGGTGTCCGGGGATGGCTGCTGTTACAGTGCTCACAAAACTGCTGGTGCGCTTTATCTTCCCTCCATCCATTGACAGTTTTCCTAAATATATGTGGGGAAAAAAAAAAGTGAAGAGCCCTTTGGGATGTGCTCTTGGCACTGGTACAAGACCTAAGTGTAACTTTAAAAGCCAATTGCAGATATCTACTTTATTTTCAAGCTCTTAGATGGAAAGCTATAAAGGTATGAGGATGACTTGTCCTCTGCCAAAACACTTGTAATTCCTTGTGTGTCATGGGAGTATTTGTGACCGAGTCCAAAAAGAGGACTCAGTTCCCTCCCTTTTTCCTTCTTTAGGGAGGCTGGAGTAAAATATCATGGTTTGAGCCTTCTGCTGCACGGGTTCTGTGTGTAAAATGGAGAAAAAAAAGCTCTGTGAGGGACTGACTCTTTATTCTTAAGAGAAATCTCCTTCCTGGAAAAATTGCAATGAATGAATGGAAGCTGGTGTTCAATGGAAGCGTGAGGGACTGTGCAGGGAAATGCTTATAAATATTCAAGCCACCAAATGGTCACTTATGATAACACCCGCACGGCGTAATTCCAAGCAGTCACTGGCCACAGAAGGATTGGCTTCTGTTGCTTCTTTTGTTGTCCCTGTCTTTCAGATCAATTCTGTCAATAATTGAATGCATTTTTGAAGTCTGAAAATTGAATAAAACCACACATCAAGGTATCCTGTGATTTCTTCTGACAGCCTGTCACCAGGATTTTACCTGACACAAGTCAGTGAATCTTCTAAATGGCTTTTCTTGCAGTTGCAAGGCCACAAATGGTTTTATATGGATGCAGGAAATCTTGAAATAACTTCTTTATCCTTCTCCCTGTAGGAATTGTAAATGAGTAGTATTCGCATCACTCCTCACGGTGCTTTCAAACGGTCTTGTCTTTCACATTAATTTAAGTCTGAGGTAGATCTAGCGGTGAAAGAACTGGATTTACTCCAGCATAAGGAGAAGGAAAACTGGCTTTACTGACATTTTGGTTCTTTTGTAGTAAGAGCATTTTTAATAGAGTACTTGGAAATTGCAAACTTGGCGTACGTTTGTTGGGTTTTGTTTCATAGCGTCGAGTTTGATGTTAGAGATAAAAAGCATTTGGAGGTTTGAGTTCTAACTCCAGTCAAGCATTGCAGTCTCTGGATGGAATCCATGGCATGCAGAAGATTGCACTGGGTTATCATAATGGACCTTTCTGGCATTATGATCTATTGAATACCATTTTCCTTATTAGATCAGGATAGCATGCTGCTTTGGACTCTAAGAAACAGTAAGTACGTACATAAATCTTTGTAAATTCTCAAGAGACTGAGGTTTAGATATTTCTTCAGTGAGTGATCTGCCATCAAAGACCACAGTCCAGTTACTATTCATAACGCTTTGGGGGCTGAAAGCTTAATATGCTGGTACTGCAACGAATGTGTTTTAATAAAAACACCTGGAGTGTGAAGGGTAAAGTTTAAAACTCTGCAAGTGCTTAAGGGGAACTTAATATTATTTTAAAATAAATAATAATCTGTGGCTTGCTTATTTATTCGCCCTTTCTGTGAAGCTGTTCTTTAATCAACTATTTGCTGCTTTTATGAGAGGTTTTCTGCTTTCAGGGTGGGTTCTGACTGTGTGCTTGGCGCTCGGTCTCTCTCTGCCTTGGAAGGAGGAATGTCATCTGAGCTCATGGCCATAAGGAGTTCTGTAAAGTGCTCTCGGTGTGTTAATGCCTCCAAGGGCAAAGGGTTTTTAGAGTCTAGGTGGGATGTTGCAAAAGTAATGCAATGCACGCTGGAAAGAAAATGAAGTAAAAGCAGTAAAAATGATAAGCAGCTACTGAAAGGTTAAAAAAAAATGGGTAAATTGGAATACATGTTTTATTTTCTATTTTTAATTGCCTGGAGATACATAATCTGCATTGGTTTGATATGCATGAAGTAGAGAATACCTCTGGTAGTTTCACAGAGATTCTGAGACGTGCTGATTTAGAATATTAGAGTCTATTCATTTAAAATGTTCATTGGGAGACGATGAGAAATATGAACTTACCTTGTAAAAATGGTTTCTTTTCCTTGACGTTCCCATGTCTGACAGGTGCACGGTTCACTCGAATCCAAACGTGGTTTGATGTTATTGCCCTATTAACTACGGCGCTTAGGCCGTGCTTAACTATCTGGTTAGCGCTGAACGCTCCTGCGACAGCCAATACACCTGCTGTGCGATTTAATGCATCAGCACATCCTGGTGTTCTGGAGACAGACGTGCTGACAGCTGGTTTGGGGGGAAAGAAAAAAGGAGGGGGTGGAAATTTAATGTGGTGACCCTGGTCCTTCACACAGCTCGCAGCCTAAACACTTGAATTGGCCTCTTGGTTTATTCAGCAGTAGAAGTGGTCTCTGAAGTAAGCTCGACTTGATGTTTTTCTCAGGAAGGGGTTGAGGGGGGAAATGTGTAACCTTGCCTTGTGGTGGGAGAGAATGATTTGGACTCCATAAAATTAGACTGGGATGATTTTTTTCCCTCTGATACTGCACTACTGAGCTTCAAGCATGGACGTTGGATTAAGTATCACTAACCCCGTTTTCTTTTATGTATTTCTCACTGCACTAATATAGGTAAAGATCATAGCTAGTTTTAACATTGAGTATTTTTTGAGCTATGCCATTAAAAATTCCTTTTTATAGTTATCGCAGTGGTCTGAAATAACTTTTTATTTAGCGTAGTCATAGTACTGTACTGAAATCCAGCATGGGGAGAAAAAAAATCTTATGACACTTCAATAAGTAAAATGTCCTTTTGTTATCTGAACCGAACAAACTGGTGTGTTCATAAAGAGCCTCATCAATTTTAATAAGCTATCAGCGTCACGACTTTTGATGGAAAAACTTGCATGTTGGAAGGGGTGAGAGCTGCGAACGGGATCAATAAAGTAAGCTGAGGAGAAATACGAGGCTGGCCCAACGGTACCACAGGTAGTTTGAAAAATCATTAAAAAAAATAATAATAAACACCTCTGCCTTCCTACCTGGAGCAGTGTTTTGGGGATCCCTGGGCAGGAATACGATAAACCTACACACAGGTTTTCCACAGTAGATGAACCAATCGTACCCACGATCCGATTCCAACTACGGCTTTGTTCACCTCTCTGCAGACGTACCCCCAGCGTACCTTGTGTGCTCCAGTTCCTCAGCATTCAAGAGCTTGAGTTTATATCCCCAAACCCGCAGGGACACATTCTTTAAGCTGAAATGCTGGTGCCTGTATATACACGCTCGTCTCTCCTGCAAGCGCAAACCACTAGATGTGCAATTAAAAATACAAACAGCTGCAGAGAGGCATCTCGCTTCTGGTAAAGGGTAGATCAAGTAAAGCTCAAGTGCCTTTTTTTTTGTTTTTTCCTCTTAGAATGGGTTTTATGTGTGTATGTATATGTGTACTTCATTTAGTGATAGTAAAGGAAAACTTAACCCTGTGTAACTGAGGAGCCAGACCTGTGAAGAAGGAACCTCTTGAAAAGTCTGTGCCCTTTTTGAGGCTGAAATCTGTTGTTACTGCTCAAGCCTGGGGCTTGAACTGAGCGAGTACTCCTGAGGCCAGGAAAGGATTTTATCCTTGGTCTGCAAAACCTGAAGTTCTAAGAGGTTGTTGTTGGGTTTGTTTTGTTTGGGTTTTTTGTGGGGGGTTATTTTTCAGGTGAAAAATCAAGCTGCTTTAGCTCGAAGTTTAGCAGTGCACACCTGTCAAATATTTGGATATTTGGG